TGGGAGGTGCCGCCTTGACGCCTTCAATGGCGCCGGCGCAAAACCGCTCAGTCTTGTCGAGGCGATGACCCACCTCGACTCTAACGCCGCCTACCAGTTCGCGAGCAAAGTCTCGAAAGCCCAACCGTATCGAGCGCACCGCTATGTCCTGGCTTCTGCTTAAGTCATATTGTTCTGCCTGAACCCGTGCTAGGCATGCAACGCTTCGAGCTATAACTCGCATTTGATTTGGGAGATCGGCTGGGCAGCTACTTGCGCCTCTATATTCTTCACTTCCTCTAAGGCCTTTGCCGCCTCCGCTGCCTTGTCAATTCTCCTCTTCTTCTCCCGCATCACCGCTAATTTCCATTCCATCCTCTTCTCGTCTTCCAACGCTTGANCCTCCCCCCCTGCAACCTAGGCCATCCGCCTTCGTGGTCATAGACATGCGCCGCAGCCAGGTGAGTATTCCGTGGGCACCGTTCCACTAGCACTACCACATGAGTGGTGTAAAATGTCCGCACAAAACACCTGTGAGACAACTGGCGGAAATCACCCCGACCGTTGTTGCAGGAAAATCGGATGGCAGCAAAACCACGATGGATTTATATTTCGGAGTTGTTTTCTTATTTTGATTTAGTTCTTTTTCTTTTTCTTTTTCTTTTTCTTTGCAGATGGAATAATATATATATTTTTTTACAAAGCTGAGAACCGGGCCCGGCGTCCCTCACAAAAGAGAAAGGTGGGACCTCCTCTGAACAGGCATCGTCGGCCCAGGTCAGAGGGTCCACCTAGTGCAATGTACCCAGCAATCACGTACTATGCCCCATCTCCCCCATCCACACTGCTTCACCCCGGTATTTATACCATTTCCAATTTCCATCTGCTAGTTCAAAGATAACACAAAGCTACAAACCTACAACAAGGCTTAGCCTACAATCATCACAAAGTTACAAACCTACAAAACTGACCACTCTGCCTGTACTGCCTGTACTGCCTGTACTATCTGTACTAAGGCACAGAAGCAGAAAAGGATCCAAAAATCGAATCGTAGCAATGCAGTCGAAGAAAGAAAGAAAAGAAAATGGACCATTTATCGATGTATGCGTGGCATCCTTGCGCAGGGGCCATGCCAATCTTCTCTGTATCGTTCCAATTTTAGTAACGGAGAATGGGAATAGTATTCAATTCTTTAGTTCTTCATCAAAAAAAGATTATTAGCCGAAGCCGGGTAATGGCCCCGGCCATAAAAAAAAAAAAAAAAAACGGAGAATGGGAGGCAGAAAAGAGAAATAGAAAGACTCATTTTGATTGGCCGCAATTCAAACACGAGAAAAGAAAACTCAAGTACTCGAAGGGGTTGGTATTGAGATCCTTTTTTTTTCCGGTCTATTGCAACCCCATCAAATACTTCATTTTTGGCACAGAATACAAGAATGTGCGCGTTTTAGTACGGCAAACCATCACTTTAGTCATCCCATCTGGCACACAAAGGGTCTTGGTCACAGCAATCGTTCGTCGGGTAGAGCTTCTATCCTACCCGACATCGCAGAGAAGCAATCGACTCTGGCTTCAATGGGCATATTGGCGGGGGGCATGAATCCAGACGTTTCTTGGGGGAGGGAACGGGCGTGGGGAGGGCACTACGGGTGAGGACAGGTGAGGGTGCATGAATCAAGCATCACTAATTTTTTTCTTTTCTTCTCTTTTCAACTACTTTTCTTCGTTTTCAGGTGGTGTGGCACCCACCATAATAGACGTGTGCCAGTGGAACGGTGCCCCGTGAGATATCATCGTCGAACTGACTAGCCCCAGGTAACTCAGCATTATTTTATTTTAATTTTTAATCCATTCATCTACTCCCACGTGGATGCGAAGTCAGGTCCCTAATTCAGCAGTTCATGTGTACCAAATGAGCGACGCCCGTTTTGGTGGCCCGTTTCACGATATTGTCAGAGTCACCTGACTTCCTGGGTATTCAATGAATATTCCACTTTTATAACCAGCGGCGCCGCCCGGGTCACCTCGTCTGCCCGGGCTTCCCGGCCGTGCAAGGACCACAGAAGGTCCCTGGTCAGCAAAAAAAAAAAAAAAAAAAAAAAAAAAATMARAAAAATKAACTTTTTTCTTTTTTTGTTTAAGTAATCTATATTCTTCTCTCAATCTATTTCATCTTTTCTTGGTAGTACGCATCTATGTGATCCTCTCACTAGTCTATTTATAGTATGGGGGAACACCAACCAACCCGGATCTCTCCCCAGGCCACGGGGTAGGTTTGCACCACAGCTGTGGTGCGAGAGCAAGGCTGTACCAGTCCCTCATCACGGTGACGAGGGGTGGGCAGGCATTGCCGATGGGGGAAATCGGCGGTGCTAGCGCCGAGCAATGGCCAGTCACTGCACCTCCCCCTAACCCCCCCCCCAACCCCACATGGCGGTGTCTAATGGCCAATATTTACGCTGCATAGCAGCCAACAACATCAGCCAAGGTCCTGCCAATGCTGGCTTGGGGGGCCAACGGGTTATCTCTAGCTGGTAGAACACCAAGCTTGCCCAGGCACGTAAACTTTTCCCTCAGGGTCATATCGAAGTTCGTTACCAAAAGTAGAATTAAAAAAAATAAACTAAAATTTAGTAAAATAACTTCTTTTTTTTCCTTCTTTGGGGGGGGTGGGGGGGTTGGGTTGGCCCGGCCAGGTCCCGGGCTACTCTGGTAGCGGGGGTTTCAGAACCCACCCCAAACCCAATCCGACCCACTGCAACTCGACCCTCACCAACCAACCAACGAAAGAAAATGAAGTAACAGGTAGAGATAACCCGTTGGCCCCCCAAGCCAGCATTGGCAGGACCTTGGCTGATGTTGTTGGCTGCTACGCAGTGACAATATTGGCCATTAGAGACCGCCATGTGGGGTTGGGGGGGGGTAGGGGGAGGTGCAGTGACTGGCCATTGCTCGGCGCTAACACCGCCTATTTCCCCCATCGGCAATGCCTGCCCACCCCTCGTCACCCTGATGAGGGACTGGTACAGCCTTTGCTCTCGCACCACAGCTGTGGTGCAAACCTACCCCGTGGGCTGGGGAGAGATCCGGGTTGGTTGGTGTTCCCCCGTACTATAAATAGACTAGTGAGAGGATGAGATCGATGCGTACTACCAAGAAAGATGAAATAGATTGAAAGAAGAATATAGATTACCTTTAAAAAAAAAAAAAAAAAAAGACTCAAGCAAACAGAGAGCGAGGAAGCGAGACCACCTTAAATACAAGCAAACAGACAACCAAACGAGCAAACAAGGCCCGCACCCATTACTACCAACGAAAGGGGCACACACACACACACACAGACATGGCTACTAAAGGACATCTTTCACGTCAGTGGCCACCTGTGCATCCGCGAAAGGAGATTGAGCCTCTCCTCTCCTAAAAAAATAGGACGCCATGAACCACCGATTCACTTTATAGCCGGTCCACGACGGTCCATGGCCTCCCAATTTTTGGGATAGGCTCAATCTGTTTTTTCGGACGCACTGGTGGTTCAAGCAAGGAGAGAGAAGGGAAGAAAGTAGAAGAGACGGCTAAAAGAGATGTCGGCGCATTTCTTGTTTTGTGCGTGTCATCCTACGACGGTAGCCGCGCAGGGACCAACCTGCAATAATGCTTATCTTCTCTGTAGCGCAAAATGAAATGATCGGATGAGCTTTAAATTTTTTCTTCTTTGCTTTTTCGTTTGCCTAATCTTCTCCCTATCATTCCAACTACTCTAATCAAAAAAATAAAAAAAAAACTCTGATGACTGGCCGAATGCTAACTCCACGAATGCAGCCCGTAAGTGCACAGAACATAATTATACTAAATCAGGACCCGGCATACTCAAAACTAAATCAGGGGATACTCGACATAGCAGTTTCCTAAAAGCATCTCATCATAATTACATTCAGATCCGGATGAATCCGACTGCAATCACGTCCTGAGCGTAGTAGTATGGCCTCAGATGAACAGAAGAAAAGTTACGGACGACCCGCTTATATATACATTAATTAAGAGACGTAGACAAGGCCACAGGGAATCCCATCAAAACCAAGCTAACAAACACAAACAGACAGAAGGGCGAATGGATGGCCTGCGTTTGTACGCAAGAGGTTTTGAACAGGGGGAGTTGTAAGGAAGAAGATAAGAAATGAACTGATATTTTTTTGTTTTCATTTGTTTTTTTCGCTTTTGCGCTCTGATATTTATGTGATGATATATATATCGTCACAAACAGAACTGCCCGGTAGATGCAACGTGATGTTAGATGGTCGAGGCGGTCCTTGGGGACATCCGTTCAAAGTGGAACGATACAGAGAAGGTTTTTTTTTTTTTTTTTTTTTTTTT